AACTGTGGCACTGTGGATTAATGCATTGGACTGCAAGGTCAGTTTGAACTGCAAGTTCAGTGGTTCAAGCTCACCAGCTGCTCCTTGGAAACCCTATTCAGGGTCACTATGGTTCAGAACTGACTCAAAGGCACTTAACAACAACAACAATACAAGGGTGAGTCAAAAATTATCAGCATTCTAGGTATAGTAAAACACCTGTCCACTTCTATGGCTGATGACAACATTGAGCAAGCATGTGAATGATTCTGTGGAATAGATGTGTGACTGTGGATTAGGTGGCAAATCATTTGCAAATCAACCATGGCTCAGCCTATGAAACAATCCACCACAAACTTGGGTTTTGAAAAGTTTGTGCAAGATGGATACTGAAACAACTCATATCTAGAAGCTCTTGGACATCTGTAAACAAAATTTGGACCAATACTCAAAGGAAGTTAAAAGTTTCGTTAAAAAAAAAATCATTATTCATGAGTAGATACATGCACACCACTGTTCTTAGCAGCACTATTCACAATAGCAAAAAGATGGAGACAGCCTAAATGCCCATCAGTGGAAGAATGGATGAATAAATTTTGCTATATACACACAATGGAATATTATGCAACCATGAAGAATAACAAGGAAGCTGCAAGTTACCACATAACATGGATGAACCTTGAGGACATTATGCTGAGTGAAATTAGTCAGTCACAAAAGGACAAATATTTCATAAGATGATTATTGTAAAAGCTTAAGAAAAGATACCCATACTAAAAGGGGGGAAAAATTCTTTGTTGGTTACAGGAGGTGGGGAGATGATAGAGCACACATGATAGACACATCATAGTTCAGGTGTTGAGAAGGCAATACACAAGAAGGGGGAGGATAGAAGAACAAGGTAGACAGGGGAACACTGAGGCAGGTTTGCATGGGCTAAATAGGGCAGAGGTAAATAGTGATGTATGCTCAACCTTGGAAAAATAGGGCTCTGTGATACAGGGATCGAGGCATAGTCTGAATGGGTAAAAGAGGGGAAATAATGTTAAGATGTTTGACTGTCTTATGAATCTTGGTTTCCCTTGCCTACTATTGTAAAATAGACACTTGAGTGGGATAGAAAGGAATATCAGGAAACATGATTGCAGAAAACTTGTAAGCCTGTCTTTAGCCTATAACTGATCAGAATACCTAAAAGGGGTTCTAGAACTTGTCCAGTGAAATAGGCTTCTTGCAGAGCCTTTGTAGTGTATAGGACCTTAGGTGGAATCCTGAGCCCCATCCAGAATCTTTTGAGGTAGGACATTCCCACTAGAAAGGACAAGCAAACCAGCTTGGAACAGTTAGAGAACAGAAGATATTTCTTGAAAGAAAGACCAGCAGGAAAAATCCAAAACAAAAATGCAGTCTGATTGGCTACCAAAAGAACAAGCAAATTGTTCTCTGGGGAGCCATTAAAGTAAGCAATCAAGTCCCTTCAGGACAGACTTCCTTCCAAACTCCCTTTGGAACCAAAGGGAACACATTAGCAGGCATATAAGCTTGCTGGTGACCACGTTGGTTAACTGGTGAATGGAAGAGTGGGAAAGGCAGCAATGAAGTTATGTGCTGAGTTCAGCAACATTCCATAGACTCTTGTTGACCTGGAGATGAGAGAGAGAAGAAGAAGGGCTGGCTGATTCGAAGTGTGGTGAGACCTGGGAACTCCTGAGCCCATGGACAAGGACATAGCTACAGAGGGCAAGAGCTGAGAGCAAAGTGTCCAGCTGATATGAAGTGAGGGGACGCACAAGAACACCCAAACTTGTAGAGCGTACCTATTCGACCTAGCCTTAATGGCTTGATGATCAGAACTTGAATTGTTGTTAGGTGCCATCAAGTCTGTACCGACTCATAACCACCTTATGCACAGCAGAACGAAACATAGAGAACTTAAATAGAGGAAGCTAAAAAAAAAAAATTTTTTTTTTTTTTGGTAAAGGAAACAAGTATAAATTGCTACAATTTGATGAACTTAACCTATATTTATGGAAGTAGTAACTCAAAATACCAACTGAGAGGGAAGGAGTCTTCACATCAAGTATAAATCCTACCCCCTTCTGTATACAGGGTTGAAAATCCTACCCCTTTCTGTATACAGGGTTGATAGGGATAGCTAACTTAGACATTGGATACCTAAATGGGGTGGGGGTGGGGGTATAAAGGCACAAAGTGACTGGCTTACAAGCTTTCAAGAGGGAGTTTAGTTTCAGAGTGTGTGGGAGAAGGTAGAAGCCCCACGGAATACTTTTCATTTTGTCTAGATGGGTCTAGTGAGAGGAGATGGGGATAAAATTCTTATGATTCAATTGTGAATCATTGTTATCATGACTAATTGTGACTGTCACAACTGCAAAGGTAGAGGTTTTGTAACAAAAAGGGGGAAACAGAGGACCCTAGGACCATCAAAGGAGAAGAGCACAAGCAGAATGTAGGATCCTATCCAGAGAAGCAGTGGCACCAGAGATAGAGGCAGAAATGAAGACATGGAGGAAGAGAGCAGCTGAGGACTCTAAACTCATGGGAAGAGAAAGGCTGTGTGCTGGCGGCCAGGAGGCAGGCTTGCAGAATGTGCCCTTTGGTTGTTTAAATGTTTATATATTCCTGAGTGCTTTTGTGTACACCTCCCCCCACCCAAAAAAAGCAAAACAGGAAATAGAAGCAAATACTGTTGAATGATGATGCAGAGAGGAGATTTTAATCATTGTAATGAAATGATGAGTGTGAAACTGATGTTCTCCCATGTAAGCTGTCATTCAATTCACAATAAAAACTTAAAAAAAAAAAAATCATTATTGATGATGAGACATGGATTCATCACCATAAGCCTGAGACTAAACAGCAGAGTATGGGAATCAAAACATCCTCAATTGCCGAATAAGAAAAAGTTCAAAAATCAACCCATCAACTGGAAAATTGATGCTTACAGTTTCTAGGCTTCTCAAGAGCCAGTATTGGAACACTCTCAGGAAAAAGGTTCAATAATCAACAATGCTCCTTACAGTGAGATGCTCACTGAAAAGTGGAATACTATCCAAGGACATTGTGATCTTGCATGACACTCACATTTGCACACTTCTGCCCACACTGTTCACACTCTGAAAAAAACCTTCATTTTGAAGTGTTAAAGCATCCTCCCTATGGCCCTGATCTTGTGCCATTGGACTTTCACCTGATTGGTCCCTTGAAAGCAGCCCTTGGAGGACGAAGATTCACCTTTGATGAAGACGTGAAGACAGCAGTGCATTCATACCTTGAAGCTCAGCCTAAAACATTTTTAAAATAAGGGAATATGAAAGCTTATTGACAGATAGAAAAGTAAGGAGATTATGTCAAAAAATGATGTATTTGTGTTTTCCAAAAGTTGATTAAATAAATTCTACAGACAGTGTGGATAATTTTTTATTCATCTTCGGATATACATATATAAGCTTCACTGGTTTTGCTTTTCTAGAAAACATGGCCTAAGACAGTGAGGAATTAATTATCTTTGCATCCAGTGTGGCATGTATTCCCATAGATGACAGGGAGGGGACTTGCACGGATTCAAAATTTGACCTTTTACTCCTTCACTAACCTGCTATTTTGGAAGCCAGAGATCTTGAGCTACCTTTCTGGAGTGGAAAGGTATAATGTGGTTGTTGTAATTTTTAAGTGCCAATAAGTTGATTCTGACTCATACTGACCCTGTATAGAGTTTCTGAAGAGTGACTGGTGGGTTTGAAGACATAAACTTTCTCAAAGCAGAGACAGTAATAGCTTTTATTGCTTCATTATTCCCTCATGTATTGAGCATACTGAGTGACCACAGTAAGTAATCAATCTATGCATGTTGCATGAAAGCATCATTTCCCTTTCTTGTTCTGTACAGTTCCAGGACATGCTGGTCAACTGGTGTTTGGGTACCTGAATGGCAGGGCCTGTGTGGTGATGAAGGGCAGATTCCACTTGTATGAAGGCTACCCACTCTGCCTGGTAAATGGGCATAAACCTGGTTGGCTCTGGGAGAAGGGGAAAAAAATGACTTATCACAAGACAGTTTTTCTTACTTCTATCTCACTATCTAATTATCTAGGCTATGTAGATTTATGGTCCTCTCCTCTTTCCAGTCTTTCATGATGTGGGTCATGTACTTGGGAGCTTCAAAAGTTTGTGAGAAAATTCCACTATCGTTTGATTTCATTTTCCTATGAACTTTCTGAAAATCTCATGTATCTGTGTGGCTGGACTAATGAGATTTTGAATGCATCTAATCTTTTTCTTCAAAGGTCACGTTCCCAGTGAGGGTTTTCAAGCTTCTGGGTGTGGACACCCTAGTGGTCACCAATGCTGCTGGAGGACTCAACCCCAAGTTTGAGGTTGGCGATATCATGCTGATCCGTGATCATATCAATCTACCTGGTTTCTCTGGTCAGAATCCTTTGATAGGCTCCAATGAGGAAAGGTACATGATTTGACTCCTTTGTTTCTAGATGGGTGGGGCTTAAGGATTTATTGAAGAGCTCACTGTAGTCCATTAATCTGAGGTAATCTTCTAACCTGGTCCTTAGGTTTGGAGTTCGTTTCCCTCCCATGTCTGATGCTTATGACCGACATCTGAGGCAGATGGCTCACAGTACCTGGAAACAAATGGGGGAAGAGCGAGAACTCCAGGAAGGCACCTACGTGATGTTGGCAGGCCCCAACTTTGAGACGGTGGCCGAGTCTCGTCTGCTGCAGAAGCTGGGGGCAGATGCTGTTGGTGAGATGGGGAAATTGGCTGGAGGCTTGGCTAGGGAGTGATCGGTAAAAAGGGATTGGGAGGAGTAGGAGGGAGATTACAGACCTAGAGGGTAGGACAAGAGATAATCTAATTTAAGGGAAATTGAATTGATCTGATTTCTATTCTAGGATACTAAATTAGTGAACACCAAACACTAATTTAGGGCTTTACCAATTACAGATAATACCAGCGTGATTGATATAATCCATGCTACTGGACCTGACTATGACTTGATTATTTCAAAGGATTATTCTAACAGATAGCATGGCCACCTTCAGTGTCACTGGCTTGAAGGGGGCATTGTGCCATTGGAACCCAAAGAAAAATCCCAACCAGTTGCCATGGATTCTGACTCATGGCAACTCCATGTGTTTCAAAGTAGAAATTTCTCCACTGGAAGGGACCTGCGACCCCACGGCTATGATCTTTTAGAAGTAGATCACCAGACCTTTTTTCTGAGGTGTCTCTGGTGGATTTGAACCAACTTTTTAGTTGGACATGAACACTTCAACTTCTGTGCCACTAGGGAACTAACTTCATTAGAACTAACTTCAAAATTATCATAAACAATTTTAGTCACCTAGCATTGCATAGAGTAGTGGTTACAAATTGGGCTGCGAACCTCAAGGTCAGCAGTTCGAAACTACCAGCAGTTCCCTGGGATAAAGATGAGGCTTTCTGCTCCCATAAAGATTTACAGCCTCAGAAACCCTGTGCAGGGTTGCTATGAGTTGGAACCGACTCCACGGCACATAAATACCAGCACTGCATTTACAATATAATAAGAAACCCTCTGAAGGCCCACTAAAGTTTAATCAATATGGAACAGCAATAGCCACTCAATGTAATAATTTAACTGATAATTTGGATTTTTGAAGATGTGTTGAGAGTTTAAATTCTGACCGGTAATGGAGGTAAGGGTAAAGAAAAGAGTCATTTGAGGATCCTGATAATTGGTTTCCATCTCTCTGCCCACCAGGCATGAGCACTGTACCAGAAGTTATAGTTGCACGGCACTGTGGACTTCGAGTCTTTGGCTTCTCCCTCATCACTAACAAGGTCGTCATGAATTATGAGACCCTGGAAAAGGCCAACCACGAGGAAGTACTAGAGGCTGGAAAACAAGCGGCACAGAAATTGGGACAGTTCGTCTTCACTCTTATGTCTAACATGTCACTCCCAAGCAATTAACCTTTGATCAGCTTCTGCCTTCTAGGATCCAAGGGCTACTACCTACTTTGGCCCTTTTCTGGGGTTACCTGCCTTTCCCTAGGTAGCAGTAAAAAGACAGGAGGATTCTTATCCTTTTCCTTCATTACTTTTCTTACCAGATTGTTTTGGTGCCAGGTTCCCTTTTGCTCAGTTGTCCTTTGAAAGCAAATTTCATTCCAGTTCTTCCCTAAACTAGAGCCCATGCTCCAACGCACATCTGTGAATATTCTCAGGAGGTGACTTGTGTCTTCAGAGGTGGCACAGTAGCTGCTGTTTAACTTTTTGAGATAATGTTCTCACATTCCTGGGGACTGAATTTGCACCCCCAAAACACTAGAGAACACACACAAGGATCAGCTCAATATTTTTACAGTTCTAATGCTATCATGTTATGAAAATAAAGAGAAAGATGTATCACCTCTTCATTTTTGTGCAGTTTGGTGAGGATGGGGGGCACAGGCCAAGATTTGCAGAAAAGAATGTGTGGTCACAAGTCCTGTGTAACTTTATATGCATCTTAGACAGGTAGCTAAGATCTTAGATCAATGTGCCACCTGAAAAATATGGTCCAGAAAGACTTGGAGTGGAATATTTAAGAACACTTCTAATTTTAAATGTAATAAATGGGTAACATTAGAGGATTCCATGAGGTTGATGTTGAATACTGGATTCAAGCAAAAGATTATAGATTGGCTATTCTAATTCTCAGAGTATTTAATTTCTTAGTTCTAAATTAAGCCTGGTGTGGTACTGTAGGATAAGCACTGGACTGCTAACTGCAAAGTTAGCAGCCACTCCTTGGAAACCCTATACATGATTGGTATGAGTCAGAACCAACTCGACAGCATTTAACAACATCAGCAGCAAGGTAAGCCTATGAGCCAGTTGCTATGAGTTAGAATCAACTGGATGGCACACAACAACAAAAAAGTAGTTCTTGTCTCCCTTATGTAAGTGTGTATCACTGTATTCATGTAATGGAATTAGCAATATTTTATGGTGACAAAAAAAAAAAAATTAGATTCTTCCCAGTGCAAGCCAAGTGGTATGACAAGGAAAAGTAGCCACAGGCAAGTCATGGGCATTTAATTCTAGGTCATACTATTAATCCTAAGTGAATTAATTACAGTTCTGTGTTTGAAGTGGTATGTGTCAGGAAAGAAAGCACACACACATAAAGTATTTTTAAGTTATATCAAATGTCTTCAATTTTGAAAGTGCCAACCAACCCAGCCCAATCTGAATTCATTAGTTTCAAACAGGAAGGCCATAGAGATATGAAGTCAGGAGAAACTGATTGGGAAGGCCATCTAGAGAAAATAAATTGCTGAAAACATTGGTAATAAAACCACTCCTATCTAATGGCACCTGAAGGATACCTGCAAATAAAAACCTGATTTTTCTGAGGCTCCTGGTAGGTTTTAAGACATACTCCATTAAGTGAGGCTTTCTTCCTTAGCTCTATCATGGTAATCTTGATCAACAACAATAAATGCTTATCAATCATCTGATGGTACAATCATGTAATAGTATACTATTTTAAGGCTATGGGTCTTTGATTATGAAATGTTGTACTAAAACCCATATTACAAATTGGTAGATACCAGAGTGCTTGCAATCTAGATTGGAGACAACAGAAATAACAAGGCTGAGTTAGTCATGCCCTCTGTGTCTAGCTTTTAGTCTTTCCATATGTTATGCTGTTATTGTTCAGAAGTTAACTTTTGCCACTGAATTATGGATAAGTGGGACAAATTTTTTAAAATGGGATAGCACATCAAAAGTGTTGTTGTTGTTAAGTTCCATCGAGTCGATAGAGTATGCTAATGGAATGCTATACAATGTTGAAGAATAATGATAAATCTGCAAAACACCTCACAGCATGGATGAACCTGCAGGACATTATGCTAAGTGAAATTAGTCAAGCCCAAAAGGACAAATATTGTATGAGATCACTATTGTAAAAACTTAAGAAAAGGTATTCATGCTAAAAACAACATTCTATGATGGTTATCAGGTGAGGGAGGGGATTTATTCATGGGCCAGAGGGTAGCCATATATTAACATATGTGGTTGGGGGAACAATAAACAGTAAGAGGGAGGTGGGCAAAGGAAGATGAAGGTAGTGGGAGACACAGGGAGGAATGCAAGAGTTAAAGTGGATAGAAGTAAATACTGTACATAGAGGGGATCGCAATCACTGAGGTGAAGTGAAGTATATGATTTGTTCAATATGAAACTGATGATTTGCTCTGTAAACCTTCACTCAGTTCACAATAAAAGATTAAAAAAAACAACTAGGGTATACTAAGTGCCAAATGATGGCATGAGCTGTAGGAGTTCAGAGCAGAGAACCAACAGTAGGGATGGAGGATAAGAAAAGAATAAGTGAGACTTGAAATAATCTTTGGAGGAAAGAGACATGGAGAGGATGTGGTGGAAAGCAAGGTAGACTTCACAATGTTGAATGACCTAACAGATTGAAATCAGTACACTAAAAAAATCATGAATGAGAGTATGGTGGAAAGTTACTGGATTATTTAGGGCTCTGATTCTTCAAGGCTAAGGAGTAAGAACCTCTAGTCAACATGGTCCACTATGGAAACCTTTTAACTAAAAGGAAACCACACCAGTTTTTGGTGGTTTTAAGCCAGGACTAGGGTCCTGGTGTGGTGCTATAGGATAAGCACTGGACCGCAAGGTTGGTTTGAACTGCAAGGTTGGTGGTTCAAACCCACCAGCCACTCCTTGGAAACCCTATACAGAATCATTATGAATCGAACCAACTCAACAGCACTTAACAATAGCAAAGTCTTTTGTGGTGTCAACAGTTTTCACTTGGCTGCTAATCTAAAGATTAGTGGTTCAACCTTACCTAGTGGTGCCACAGAAGAAACCCTATGAAGCAGTTCTACTTTATAACACATAAGATCACCATGAATTAGAATTGACCTGATGGTACTGGGTTATATTTTTTAGGAAGGTAGGACTAAATGGAAGCAGGGAGGCTTATTTTGATGTAGAATTATTAAATTGCAATTTAGATTTCAATTAAAGTGGAATTTTTCCTCTTTAATCTTTTTGTCTGATTTAAAACTTTGGCCTAAATGAGATTTGATAATGTTGAAGTTGTTATTGTTAAGTGTCATTGATTCAGCTCTGACTCATAGTGACTCTGTATAGAGTTTCTGAGGAGCGGTTGGTAAGTTTGAACCACCGATCCTGTGCATTATCCTGCAGGGTCACACCAGGACTCCACTATTGGGATTAAACTACCTTATTTAACTCTCGTTTTCACTTCCATTCTGTTTACTTTTGGCATTTCACTTTGTCATTTGCCAACTTCTCTTGCTCTTTCTTTTGTTCTCTTTCTCTTCTCTCTGCCAGTCATAAAAAATTAAAAATTCCATTTTTCCTGTCAACTTTTTGATTTGGGCCTCAATTTTACCTTTTGCTATTTTCTTTGAACTGTTTGTACCTGAACTTCTGAAATAATTTATAATAAAAAAGGTTAGTAAAAATATAGTATCATTCTATGTGTAGCTCAACCTATTTTAGTTCTATCAAATATTCTTTTTACTCATCAGAAACTATGTAGGGTTAATTCCAGATCATAATATTAATTCCACTTGTTCCTCCCAAATAATAACATATGGATACTATTGTTACTGCTCCACCAACTCCAACAAGCAAAGTAACGAAAACATTTCATTGCCAGCAAAGAATAAACTTGGTATTTGCACAGTGGTTGTTTTTTCCCCCTTTAATTTTACTTATTTCACTATTGTTGGGAATATATACAATAAAACATACACTTAATTCAACAGTTTCTACACGGACTGCTTAGCAACATTGATCACATACTTTGAGCTGTGTCATCATTTTCATCCTGCTTTTCTGAGTTGTTCCTCCCTATGAACTTAAACTCACTATCCCCTATGGTTCCTATCTAACCTTTCGAGTTGCTGTTGCCAATTTGACCACATATGAGTTAAAGCACTGGACCACAAGGTCGGTTTGAACCTCAAGATGGGCAGTTCAAACTCACCAGATATTCCTTGGAAACCCTATATAGGGTCTCTATAAGTCAGAACTGACTCAACACGCTAACAAGAACAATAAAACAGTGCTTAAAAGAGCATATTGCTTAAGGCAGGCCTTTTTTTTTTTTTTTCTAGTTAACCTAGACTGTTAAGAAGACTTCAGGAGATATTCTTGGTTTAAGACTTAAAGATTATCTCAGGGCAATAGTTTCAGAGGTTCATCCAACCTTCGTGGTTCCAGGAAGTCTGGATTCTATGAGAATTTGAAATTCTGTTCTACATTTCCCCCCTTTTGATTGGGATTCTTTCATGGAATCTTTGATCAAAATATTCAGTAATGGTAGCTGGGCATCATCAAGTTCTGGTCTCATCACAAAGGAAGTAGTTGTTCATGGAGGCAATCAGTCACACATTAAATACTGTCCCTCCATGCCTTATTCCTGACTTTCCTTCATCTAATGTTGTTCCAAGTGACCAGAAACCAATTCTGCCTTATACAGGATGCTTACAAGTTTTTATGCAATAAATGAAGAAGTAGAACAAAAGCACTAAATAATTAGGCCAATTAACTGGGATGTCCAATGAACCCAGGACCCTCAACCCCCAAACCAAAGAATCAACTCCCTTGAGGTGTTTGATTGTATAGAAGCAGTCTCAGCAGCTAGTTTTTTTTCTCATCATTGTCATAAATATAACTATTATGGAACTTTTGTCAATTCAACTTTTTACACATGTACAAACTATTGATAGTAATTAAAATAATTAGATGTACAACTCTACCCTTAATCAATGCAATTTTTCTATTGCCACTAACTTCCTCTTTCTCTTTCCCTCCAACCCCTGGTGACCACTAATGAAGTTTGGTCTCTATATGTTTGTCTTTTCTTATCTTTTTATAAAAATAAGGTCAGACAATATTTGTCCTCTTGCAATTGG